TTTGCTGGTAAGCAACATTTTGTTCCCGGAGAACCTATAATTCCTAATTCTATTTCATTAGGTGACTCGTTGATGTCTGCTGGTGACGATGGCGCGGTTCGGTTTTGGAAGAAATCACTCTCGGGAGAATGGCTTGAATTTGCCGAGACAGACATGGCAATGCAGTAAACTTTCTTAGGCATGTCCCATTGAGATGAAAAGTTTCTTGTGAATGGTCATGGTCTCACCCCTTGTCCCCTTTTATCACCTCCACTCGAATTTGTGTCCACCCAAACTCCTAGCCATATGCTCGTCCCTATGATTGAAATGGTGCATAGGAGAAATGATACCCTTGTGTTTCAGTTGACTTATAAACTGCTTTATTTATTATGTCAATGCTTTCAATTTTATTTTACGATAGGGATAGTACGATGGCCTCGATTCTTGGAGTGCCACTGTTGATACAACGTGGAGTTCGGGCAAGAGCGACTCCTCTCCACGGCATCGCCTGTTGATGGATAATTCGAATAACGCCAACTTACTTCCAACACTGATGGCCTTCACTCCTTTAGGTCAAAAATATCACTACTCCAATCTGCCATGGCTGTGGGCCCAACTCTTGGAACGGGTTTGTTCATAGGCGCCGGCGAAGCCCTAGCCATTGGCGGCCCAGCTTCGCTGCTCATCTCCTATGTATTCCTATCACTCCTCACCTATTTCATGGCCACGACCGTCGCCGAGGTCGCCATCTATTCACCCTCTCGACATGGATCAATGGTTGCCAATGGATTTCGATATCTCCCATCCAGTCTCGGTCTCGCCACTGCTACCCTTCGTTGGTATAGTCTGGCTCTTCTCGTCCCCTACGAAACTACTACCGCGATGGTAAACCTCGGCCTATGGAAGCCTGGCTCGACAGTCGCGATACGATTGTTCATCATCACTTGCGTTATTGTCGGCTTCAACTTTCTTCCCGAGCGCACCTTTCGTGGCACTGAACAACTCTTCACCCGAATCAAGATCGGCACAATGATTTTTCTCCTAGTACTGTCTTTGTCAATCGGTATGGGAGGTGCCACCGGTCATGATAAATGGGGGTTTCAATACTGGAGAAAACCAGGCGCCATGAATGAATACGTAGCTCGAGGCTCATTGGGGAAGTTCTTCGGCTTACTACAATGCCTCTTGCACAGCTCAGTTGCTTTCACCTTCACACCAGAACTGATCGTCCATCGAGCCGAAACTCCAGTGTCGACAAGTGGCATGGAAATTGGGAGTCCAAATGACCCAGACATTCGGTCTGAGCTTCCCAGAACAGTCGTCTACGATGTTGCGACCACCGCATTTCCTTATATACTGAGTTCTTTGGCCATGGGCGTCATGGCCCCCTACAACGAGCCTCTGTTGAGCAACAACGGAGCTGGCGCAGGCCTCTCTCCCTTTGTCATCGGCATCAACACGGCGAAGATACGCATTCTCCCAGTAACGGTAACCGTTGTGATTTTCCTTTCCTCGGTGGCCTCTGGTCGGTCATTCTTACATTACTCCGCGCGCACGCTGGTAGCGTTGTCAGAGCTCGGCCACGCTCCCAAGGTGTTCAGCACCCGAAACCAATGGGGCGTACCTTATGTGGCCACTATAATCACCGCGTTGTTTGCCTTGCTCGCCTTCATGTCCGTTGCGATATCTAGCTCCACGGTTTTAACATACTTCCTTGTCTTTGTCAACAGCTGCGGGTACCTTTCCTGGATGGTATCCTGCGTGACCTACCGTCGTTTTCGCCATCACCTTCATCGGCGGGGACAGAGTGACACCTATCGATTCTCTGTTCAGCCCATGGGAACATACATAGGCTTCATGCTGAGCGTCATAATGCTGCTCGCCAACGGGCTGGTTGGAGGCCCGCCAGGTCCTCAACCTGGGTCAAGAGCATCGAGAATTGTGGCCGCCTACTTTAGTATTCCAGCATTCGGAGCCATATATTTGGGCCACCGATTTCTGACTATGGCCCCGTATCGGTCGCATGCTAAGGAGGTGCCCATTGACAAGGATGTCCCAGAGGGTCCCACAGGTGCGTTCCACATACAGCAAGGGCAACTTGCCACAACACCTGAAACTATCGAGCTGGAGCAAGTGTGGTCGGTAGCCGTAGAGGCTTGAGAGTTTTATGTAGCAAGTCAGATGTGGGAGCTGGAGGGTGGGTGGTTGCGTCAGACTAGGATGTGTCACTGACCCTTACGCGGCGATGCAAGTTGAGACTGCCTGTAAAGCTTTCAAGCGGCCTGTATATTTGATTATTCTGACATTCGTGTATGCATTGTGCTGTCTCTGTAATGTTATTTTTAGTCGTTTTTAGCATTATTTGGATTATGTTGATTCGGTATTTTCCGGTCTCCTCCATTAGCCAACTAGGCAGTTGTCCAACAACTTCAGCCATCGCGTCACTCTTCTCTCCCTTTCCGTCACGTCACTTCTCTCTCCCAACACCTCTCCCAGGCCCCGACACTGATGTTTCTCTATCGAGACTAGCCATGACATGCATCGGGCCAATGGAGTTTCATCAATGGCTGGTCTCACAGATTGACCATCAGCCCTAAATAGGTCGGTCCTGTCACCTGCGTTACGATATTTCCCGCTCTGGAGTTGGAGCCCAACAACGCCTCACAACAGGTAAGTTATCATCCTTCTTTTTAGCAAACTATCGACTTTCTAAGAAACCTACTCTACAGCATCCTATTTCAGAGCGACTCTTCTTATGGCAAGTCCTGGGTTGACTTGATTCACGGCTGCCCTCGTGTCAGCAAGGAATGAAAGCGGATCCCATGTGGGCCGTACGGAGTACAGTATCGATACTCATTTCCGCCTCATGATCGACTAACGGTTGGCTTTGATTAGCCCTTTTTCTGGCGCACCTACATTACGGCCTCTCTATAGTGGCGAAAAAAAGGCCGCCAAATCACAGGGGACTCATATTATCCGCCGACCCCCTCCCCTCCCCCTTTTGTGTGTGTGTGAACTCCTTTCTCTGAGGAATAACTCTTCTTTCTCTCTTCGATCTGGACACTCCACTCCACAAGGGCTCGGGAACTTGATAGGTTCGCAGTTCTCTAATGGTACTGGCCCGGGGTGGTTCCTTCAGGGCCGTGCCGTCGTCGTTACACCTTTTTTTCCTCCCGCCTGAAGGGCAAAAAAAGCAGGACCCTGGGGGGAGAGCCCAATGACTTTTTGCTCCCCCTCTTCTTCCCCCGACCAAATCTTTCAGCGCCACGCTTCTGCCCCATTTGGCCCTTCACTCCCGGGCGATCTCCCTTTCCCATGGATCTTTTCTTACTCACCTTCCGTTTCCCTTTGTATACACCTTGGGTGTTCTCTCTTCTAACATCATTCTTCACCTTCACTCAACCTATCTTCTTTTATATACCTTTTGGATGGATTTTCTTTGGCTAACCCCTGCTGAGTCCTATCCTCAGGCGCCTGGATCTCTTTCTATTCATTCTTGAATGGATTATTTGACCACCTGACGAGATGGGATGGCCCATTTCTTTTCTTTCCTTTGTTTCTTCTCTTTATTCCTTCCTCTCTCATCCACCCCTCTTTCTCTCCTCGCCTTCCCATCACCGAACGAAGTGATACTTTTTTTATCATGATATTTACTATTGCCTGCTTTCCTCGAAGACGAAAAGATGTCTCTGCTCGTGATGCTTGACCACTGCATCTTTTCTTCCGGTCGCAGATGGATCGAATGGCAGCAGCAGTCACACTGCCCCGACCTGCATGGCATCCCGGAATTGTTCGGCCGAACCCGTTGCTCGGGCCAACATCTCACGGGAGTCAGCCCAGAAAATACTTTGTGTCTTTCTTTGAACACTGTACTAATGATCTAGATGCTCACCCGGGGGTTTCCCCTCTTTCCAGTTGATCCCTTCCCCCATCCCCATGTGTTCCCGTGACCGGGGGGCGTTTTACGCTCCACCGGATTGGTACTAGCCACGCTAGTCCTAACAGGGACTAGTCTCGAATACTGGGCACCTGGGCACACCACACCACTTGTCAAATGCCACGCACCCTTTCGCTGGGCCTTGGGGCTTAATGCCACCTCTGACCAGGTTTTTTTTTCTCGCTAGCTCGTTTTCGGGTCGAGTCCCCCCCCCCCCCCGTACCTCCAGTTACCTCCAGTACCTCCTACCGGGCCATTCCCCCCTCTTTCTCCCCTTGGCTCACTTCGTCGGTCGCAGGCGCGACTTCCTCGCGCTAGGCTCGATTCGCACTTACTGGTTCGGGGCCCATTCGCTGCCTTAGGCCTGTAGCCTTCTCTCTCCTCCTTCCAGACTCTCTCGATCACCCTCTTTTTCCCTCTCCCTTTTCCTTGCGCGTCCTCCTCCTTCTCGGATCCTCCCCATTCCTTAACTCCCTACTCCCTCCATTCTCTTCCTCTCCACCATTACTGTTTCTTCCATCACTTCTTCTCTCCGTGCGACCCGCTCACTCACCCTTTTCCCATCTTCGACTGGACCCTCAAATCGCTTTCAACCATTCCACCCTCCCCTAATCGACCTCCCAACGCAAATCGCAACCGATTATCATCTCGATCTCGAATCGCCGTGCTCTGAACAATCCCATACCGTTCCTCTCGAGTCCACCCTGCCTCTCCTCCCGCCGCTACCCTTGTAGGCACAGGTTGAGCGCAACCGGCCAGGATTTTCTACCCACCTTCTACCATCCTACACCGTCCGGCTCCCATCATCCAGGATTCCTCGACTCTGTGCAGACGATCCCTCTATTTCTATCATCAACATTGGAGTCGTTCGTGCCACCTAGTCCCCGCTTAGAACCTAACGCTGTCGTCTCTTCCCACGTCACGCTCGAACGCGTCTGAACATCCTCTAGCACCTGTCCACGGCTGAAATCCATCTTCGTACTGGGCTCGTTGACATGTTCTTTGAATGGTGACGGATTCGCCCCGGCATCATACCCTCATATTTCATTTTGTTGTCATTTGAGAGGGGGTAATCTGTCGTACTATGACAGATACCTCCTCCCTCGCCATCACGCACGCCACCACGGATCCGTATCCGGTCCCCGCTCCTCCGGGCTCTCCCATCGCTAATGGCGCGATTTCTGACTCGGTCGCTCCTGACGAGGAAGAACCGTACACCATCAAATGCATCTGCTCCTTTGATGAAGATGATGGAAGTACGGTATTCTGCGAAGGGTGTGAGACGTGGCAGCATATCATCTGCTACTATCCGGACAAGCGGGTACCGGACGTGCACAACTGTGTCGACTGTGAACCTCGCGTTCTCGACGGTCGCCGTGCCACGGAGCGTCAGCGTCAACGACGAAACAAAGAGCAGAGCGAGGGCGGCGACCGGAAAAAGCGTCCAGGCTCCAAAACACAGAGGAAGAAGGGTAAAGATGGTGAAGTGAATGGATTTGGCCATCAGCGAAGCGAATCAGGGGCCCGCGACCAGCCCCCGCCAAGAAGGCCAAGGTTTCGCACCGCTCGTCTGCATCCATCAGTGTCATCCCAGGCGCCCCAACCATCCTTCCTGAATCTCGCAAAAGGCGATCCTCCACTTCCGTTGCTCCGAGTCCTACCAAAACCTTCGCCCCCTTCATTCCTTTGTATTCGAACGAATTCCTCCACCTCTATGATCATGATGACGAACACGAAGACCGGAATAGTAATCTGTTTGTGAATGTGAGCCTGGTCGGCGACATGGCATCGTGGGTGAAGGATCCGGATGCTTTGGCGCAACTCTCCAATCATCGTCCAACGGCGGATACTTTCAACATGTCCGATGCACCTCTCGACCGATCACAATGGCCTACCTTGACGACCGATACAATCACAGACCCCACTATCGACATCGGTGGCCGCAGTCCGATGTGGAAGATTGTAAAGACCCAAGATGCGGTACAGAAGGATGCAATCCTTGGAGAACTCACCGGCAAGGTGGGCATGTTTGACGAGTATTGCCTTGATCCGAACAATCGATGGCAAGAGTTGCGCCACCCAGAACCCTTTGTTTTCTTCAGTTCTCACCTTCCTCTCTACATCGACAGCCGACACGAAGGCAGTGTCCTCCGCTACACTCGTCGATCATGTCGTCCCAACGTTACGATGAAGATTTACATTACCAATGACGTCGAGTATCACTTTTGCTTTGTCGCGAAGGATTACATCCCGCCCAACTCTGAGATCACCATAATGTGGTATCTGGATGCCCCTTTGTTTGAAGGGTTCAATGGTCTTGTCAAGCAGGAATCTGATGACAGTGCCACAGAACCAGCTTCCACATGTCTCAGTAATACCCTCGCAAATATCGGTGGATGCGCATGCGGAAACGCGCAGGGTTGTCTGCTCGCAAAAATTGATCGTCGTCAACACCCGAAGCCATCAGACTCTGGTGCGAAGCAGCCCAACGGCAAGCGGAAGAAAGCGAAGACCAAATCTACGGCGTCTCCACAAGAAACTGGCCCTGCTTCCCTTAGTCGGGCTGGTAGCGAGACAACCAAGCATCCTGAAGACGACGATGCGGCTGCCGATAGTCGCTCCACGTCTGGCTCGGCGCGAGGACAACCCCAAAGTCGTGACATGAGCCCATCCGCCTCTCATCTTCATGAATTGTCTAGTCGAGAGCGGCGTAAGATCGCAGATGCCGAAAAGATGTTCCAACAATTGGAAAACGGCCAGCGCCCCACGGCTCAGAAGAAGAAGAAGCGTACGAGTGGCGGCACATCAGTACACTCACCCGCTGCTGTTTCTTCAACCTCCACGCAAGTCGGGTACGCCAGCTCGCAGAAAGCAGCCAAGGGTCTTCATCTCAAGACCGGGAGCGAATCCCGCTCCCCGACAGCAGCCCTTTCGCCAGGTACCATGTCGGTCGGCCGCTCTGACTCGCCGCACAAGGTGTCAGGCCCCAATACGCCAACACAGGCTACCCACCGCCCGACGTATGTCGATGCGGCAGTCCACGTTGACATGGATGAGTCTGAAGAGCCTTCGGCCTCGGGGCCTTCACCCCCGCGTCAACGCTTTGCCTATACGCCCATGAACGTCCGGCTTTTGAAACGATTCAGTATGGATCGACTCCGGGCTCAGGAAACCGCCCGCCAACAGTTATCTTCTGCCGGTTCCGATAGTGTGGGCTTCGCTTCCTCGCCCTCTGTCCCTCTGTCTCCTGCTTTCATCCGATCCCCAGTCGTGGCCCAAGACAAGGTTCCTGTGCAGGTGTTCAATTCAGACCCATCTCAGCCATCAGACGCACCACCCTCATTGGGAGATGTCGAGATGCAGGATGTTTCCGCAGCTCTGGAACCAGAATCGCCTTCCGTCGGTCGAGACCTCAGCAGGCCCATAATCCCTCCCCCGTGGCCGTCTACCGCTGCTCACAATACGCGCATCCCCGGGTCTTTTTTGGCAGAACAAGGAAGTCTTCGAATTTCGATGCCTCCACCAAGCGCCCCAGTGATTCCTTCTATGGTCAGCCCTGGCTCTACTTCCAGCCCAGGTCTCATTTCGCTTAGCGCTTCAGACTCTACATCTCCACAAACCAGTACGCAACTGCCCAGCTTCAGTGTACCGACTCCGACCCCTGCGAAGAAAAAGCTCAGTCTCGGTGATTATCTCATTCAAAAACGCACGATGGCGACACCTACCTCGGAAAAATCCCAGGCACAGTCCGTCGCCTTGTCCACTCCGCAGCAATCACCGACCACGCCTGAATCAGGACCCACAATCAATGCAGATGGCATGCAGATCCCAACCAAGGCATCTCCTGACCGCAAGATTGAGCCATTGGAGTCACCAGATGTAAAGATGAAGGATGCGCCCGAATCAAGCCATCCACACATCCCCTCCATATCTTCGTGACATCCTCTTCTCCCCTCTTTTCGAGCGTGGTAATTACGGTGTGGCTGGTCGCTGAGACCTTCGACTTTTATGTTTACGACCCCCCAAAATATTTTCTCGTGACTTGATTGGAAACTCTCTCCATTCTGTTTTTGCTGGGTACCAAAGGCGTTCTCGGGCTGTGTTTGTGACGGTCTTCTTCTCTTTTGAGGTTTTTTTTCTTTCTCCTTTTTTTTCCTTTCCGAACGGAACGGCGTACAGTGGCGCGATACAGGAATTGGATATGGATACGGAAATACCAGGAATCGGTTTTTTAAAGGAAACCTTGCGACAGGACAGTATAGCTGCTAGCGTGCGGCGCTGATCTTTATGATTTGTGAGATTACTCTACCAATTTTTTTCTTTCTTCTTCTGCTTCGATATGGTCTAGGACCATTCGGGGTACAGATAGCTTGTATGAACAATAGCGATGGTCTTTTTTCACTTAGTCCTTCTTGTATAATTAGGGGCTTGTTTGGGGTTCTTCCTACTTGCCTGTTACATGTTTGCTTAGAGTTTATGGTGATTGGCCTAGTATCGGCCAGCATCGCAATGTCAGAAACAGAGGTATACTCTCAAATCTCGGTATTAAAATGCCTTTCTCATCCTAATTAGCCCTGCATGGCTGTTGGACTTAGTATCGAGCGAGATGTTCGTTCAATCGGACCCAGGCCCAGGGCTGTTCATGTACATATCGGCTTCGGCCTGGATCATATCCATATACTCTTCACTCGGTGTAGGACTCGGTGGGATCCCCTCATCGCTTTCAGAACCTGATGATCCCCACAACTCACGTCTTCTGGCCCTTCTTTCAGCCTGTTTAGCTCGCAGTCGTGCCCGTTCACGCTGTGCTCTCTCAGCCTCAACTCGTTCCTCAACACGTTTCTCGATCGCTCTCGTAATTCGCCGGCAGGTTTGGCACACAGGTAACAGCGTCCCATTTTCCAAGACCCCTGCTCCGAACTTACGACACTGCAAGCATATAACAAAAGGTTCCCCTTCAACGACGATATTATTACCAGGTGTGTATCGATTGGTGCCTGGCTGCGGGTTGATACCACAGTCCACACACCATCGTTCCTTTGCTTTAGGTCCCCACTTGTTCTTTTTCCTTTTCACCATGTTGTCTGCGAATTTTGCTCGGGGGCGTAATCTTATACAATCCTGACAGGCGTATAGGTCGTTTCTGTTTGCGAAGAGAGTGGTTTCTGCTTCTATCAACTCCAGGTGAGTAGGAGATGGCACTATTTCACGAAGGTGCCGACACGAACGTTGGAGCCAGATGAGGCTGAACACATCGAGGCGATCGGTTATGATGCCTACTATCTCATTTGGGAGATCGCATATAGTGCGGGTTTGCGACATTGTAGAGGTGCTTATTGTATCTTGGCCCCGCTAGCGAGTTGAAACCTTTGGATAGGAAGCCGCAAATATGAGTGGGTCTAGGATATCTGTGACGAGTGGTTTGGTTGTTTGAGTTGAGACCATATCAAGCGGGGTAGTTTCCAAGGCTCGTGACAATAGTACATGGATTCATTCCATAAAATAATAATAATTGACAGCATTTGTTACGTTTTGCTGTCATTTTTGCAATATTGACAGGGTATTCATTGGACGTTACAATAGGATGACACCGACCCACTTGATTGGCCCGATGGAGCGGCCTTCTTGCCGTCGCGGCATCTAAACCGCGGAGGGATGTATAAAAATACAAAAGCAGTCCCATACATGCTTGAAAGACATCTTGCTATATCTCTTTGAACATCTTCAAATATTCTACAACCGAACAACCTTCACTACAATCCAAAATGTCCGAACCTTCCCCCCAAATCCCATCCGTCCACCTCCATGGACGAACATACAACTTGCCCCAACGCCCAACAGTGGTAATTTGCATCGATGGCTTCGACCCCGAATACCTCGAAGCAGGAATCGAAGACGGCATCCTGCCCAACATGTCCTCATTCCTATCATCCGGCTTCCACACCACAGCAGAATGCGCAATGCCCTCCCTAACAAACCCAAACAACCTCTCAATCATCACCGGCGCCCCAACCAGCATCCACGGTATCTCAGGAAACTACTACCTAGACAAAGAAACCGGCCAAGAACACATGGTAGTCGACGACTCAACCATGCACGGCACGACAATCCTAGCCAAACTAGCTGAATCAGGCATCCGCATCGCAGCCATAACAGCGAAAGACAAACTAAGAAGAATAATCAACCACGGCCTCTCACCCTCAAAATCCTCAATCTGTTTCTCCGCACAATGCGCAAACGAATGCACCCTCTCCGAACACGGCATCCAAGATGTCGAATCCTGGCTCGGCCAAACAACACCACCCCAATATTCCGGCGCCCTATCCCTCTTCGTCCTCGACGCCGGCCTGAAACTCCTGCAAGAAGACAGGGCGGATTTCTTCTACCTTACGCTATCGGATTACATCCAGCATAAATACGCGCCGCACTCACAGGAGGCAAACACCTTTATGTCCGCCATCGACGCCCGTCTCGGCGAATTCGTCAATCTCGGCGCCGTCGTCGCTGTAACAGGTGACCACGGGATGAGCGATAAATCCTCGCCCACGGACGGAACTCCCAACGTGCTATTTCTAGAAGACTTTTTGCATAGTCGATGGCCTGCGGCGCGGGCTAGGGTTATTTGCCCTATTTCCGACCCCTTTGTTAAGCATCATGGTGCGTTGGGCGGATTCGTGCGTGTGTATTTCCTTAGTGAGATCTGTGCGCGGCAGGTGGAGGAGATTCTGGATGCTTGTAGGGGATTGCCCGAGGTTGAGGTTGCGCTTAGTGGGGATGATGCGGCGGTTTTGTTTGAGATGCCTAGGGATAGGGAGGGGGATTTGGTTGTTGTTTCGAGGGCAGAGTTTGTTGTTGGGAGTCGGGTTGATGAGCATGATCTTTCGCTTTTGGGGGGGGTTGAGACTTAGGTCACATGGGGGGTTTGTCGGAGCAGAGGATTCCGTTGTTGAGGTCTACGCCTGTTCGGGATAGGGGTCTTGATGGTGATGGTGATGGGTTTGGGTCGAAGAGGTGGAGGAATTTTGATATCTTTGATCTTGTTCTTAATTATTAGGGTTGTGTGCTTTGGTACTAGTAGTAGATCTTCTTGAATAATCTAGCCTTTTCTAGCTTCAAATTGCAACATATCATGCGTTTCTATGGAGAGCCATCACAATTTTTGCAAGCTGCCTATTCAGTATACGATGCTAATTCATTATTCTGTTCCAAATTTCCTACTCTTAATCATCTTGCCACTTCATTCTGTTCTGAGTAACGGAGTTTACGACGTTTGTTCAAAATCACCCGACAGCATATCAAGCCCATCAAGAGCAAAATCAAATCCAAAAACTCCTCTCAGCGGCCCAGTCTCGTGTGTTTCAATATCCCCCGTCAAGATACCCCCTAGACTCTCTGCAATCCCTTGCAACGGATGCCCATGACTGGAAATATTTCCAGAAGCAGCAGCCTGAAGAACCCGAACAAGTTCACGCAAGTGCTCAGAAACATCAGTCCCATCCATATCGCAGATAATCAACTCGCTCTGACTCGACGCCTTCACAAGACAAACACAAGCAAACGCAGTCACCGTCCCGATATAGTAGGGTAAATTTTGCAAGCCTCCCTCCTCTTTGGTGATAAGACAAACGATCGAAAGAGCGCTTTTCAACGCAGCATCTGCAAAGTCGTCGTAACCATGTGTCGCCTTCTTTGAAGATGAGAATGAGCTTGAAGCATCTCCCTCTCCCGAGTCATCAGTCGCCTGACCACGAAAAATATGAGAAAAGAGATATAATCTCGCCGAGTAGTAATAAAAATCAAAAACATGACGAGTGAAAGGCTCTTCGCCCGAACCCTCGACAAAAGTCAAGATACCAAGCCAATCGCGATACCACGTCTCATAAGCCTCACTCAGGGCAGGAATCTCTTTCAATCGCTGGCTAGTAGCGCAATTATCGACGTCTGCGCCAAACATGTCGAAGACCTGATTGCTGATAGACCATAATTCGACTTGGCTGATTAGTTTCAGGTCAGATGGTGATGAAAGTTCGGTTCTGAGGAAATCCCGTGGGCTTTTCAGGGAGTGGAAGTCTCGTGTTAAGGGTGGTTTGCCGTGGCTAAGGGAGCAGTGGTGATCACATATATATACGAGGAAATATAATCGGGTTCGGTCGTAGCAGGCGCGTTTCTTGTGAGGCATTTTGGTGATGCAGCGGTGGAGATTTAGTTCCGTTGCGATTCGTACGGCTGATGGTGGTCAAGTTGTTAGCTCGGCTTTCCTCACAGTTACCACCTGGGCATATGTTTTCTTTCTCTCTCCTCCATATTTACTTACCTAGTGAATTTAACGCCGTGGATATTTCGTTGAGCCACAAAGCCCCGATGCAAAGGGCTCGTACATCGTCGAACTCATGATTGTTGGAAAACACTTTTCCGGATATTTCGCTTTTCAAGTTATCGAAAAGGGTTCGATAGTGTAGGGAGCCGGAGCAAAAAGCTGCAACCGTGCAGATGGAAACTGTCAAAAGCGGCGAGCGATCTGAAATAGAGGCCAGAGAATCGGTGTCGGCAAGAATATTATAGGCAAAAGAGTCCATATTCTTTTTATAAAATGAGAAGAGGCTTTCTGCGGATTCTTGGGGTATGAGTTGGTTTGATAAGAGATCTGGGCATTGTCGTGATGTGCCTCGAGGATCCGTTAATGTGAAATTGATCATTGAAGAAGCGGGGAATGCTCCAAGACTGCAAGACAAATTTAATGTGACGATTTGAGATGGGTCTGCAGGGTTATCGCCAAGATTCCCGCGAGTCGTATCTTGTCCATAAGTTTGATAAGGCGGTTGCGATGATGATTCCACTGCAGTGCTGAGGATATGTGCTTCCAGTCTGGCCATTCTGTCTTCCATTTGCTCTTTCCAACTATCTCAACGAGTCAGATGATTCTTTTCTGATCAATTTCTCGAGGGAAGGTTAGTTATTAGTTCATCACATACGAAGCGTCACCTTCTAAAAGGGTTTGTAAACTCTTGTTCACTGTGCATGTGTTGCCGCGTGTTTTACAGCGGGTGCATGGCGGTCTATCATTATTCATATGACATTTAATCTAGTAGTGTTGAATCATGGGTATTAGTTTGATTATCGAGTATAAGGCAAAGATTTAGATATTCATCCAACCTTTAATTTGCGACAGGAAACACATGCGGTGATTTTCCGCGAAATTTCGGGGATCTTCCTGTCACCGAATGATTCGCGAAGGGCCATTGCCGCAGACTCGGACCGTGGAGCCATGATGAGGGAGGGATATCTGGACTAGCTCGCGCATATGGGTCCAAATGGTACTTGCATGAGCGTTGGAGAATGAAGATGACGAAGACGAGTATATGCATTCAATAGGTCGTGGTCAAGAGATGGGCCCGTGCCCATTTCCCGATCGCTCATTGAACGCAGTCATGGCGCGACGGGCCCACCACGGCATTCGTGCCGCCCAGTGGCAAATCTCGTCTTACTCCGACAGACAAGGCCATAGACAACTCGTCTATCTCCAGGTTTCCACTAAAGAATTCATAAATTTGAAGAAAGCTAAGAGTTGAATTCGCCCTGTACTATTTTTTCTGTCTAGCTACCTCACCCTCTATCTTCTTTCTGTAGCCAATCGTGACAGGTAGCATGTAACAGAATGACATGTCCTGATTCACAACCAATCCCAATACTAGATTCAAATACAAGAAAGAATCTCATATTATTGTATACCGATGGCAACTTCAATAGTTTGGCTGAGTTCCATGTGACCCAAGTTCGATCTTCACTCACGCTGAATCCCCGAGCAGAGAGTCTTGCCAAACCTGTACCAGAGCATGTCGTATCTGCATGAGAAGGTAGGTTGAATATGCCGCTTTCAGTTTGAATGAAAGATTTAGTGGCGTCAAATTTTGTGATATGGCGGCCATAGCCCTCGAGAGTCTGCACACACTCCCAACTAGCGACATCCGAGAGTTCGATTATCTCGCTCGAGGAACCTGAAGCGAGCAGTGATCCCAAGATTACGAGGATTCCCTAGGAGGCTCTGTGGCTTCCCCAGTGAAGCTCCCCATCTCGGGAAATCTATTCTTAAGCCCTGGAGATTAAGCAAACATCCGTCCGCTTCGAGCATGGAGCTACTATAGTGATTAAACTTGAAATACAATACCAAGTATTATGTGAAATACGTAATAATGAACAAAAGGATGCCCGCTATGCCTACTAATAAAGACATCTATCAAACAGCATGTAGCTGCTGCACAAAAATAATACAATATCGCAAAAAAGGAATCTACAATGCAGAAGAAGTAGGATTGAAAAATAAACTCCGATAGGGGGAATCGAACCCCCGGCTGCCGTGTGAGAGACGGCGATGTTAGCCACTACACCATATCGGATTGACTTGTTGAAGACTGCCCCACTTTTTGGCTACATGAATCAAGCTTGGCGTAGTCGGTTGCTCTTCGCTCCTTTCGTGGTAGTATATAGGTATCGACCTCCCCCCTCCTGACCAACACTCCCTCAAAGTTGTTTTTCGCCCCTCTGCTCCGGTCCCTGCGGCCGAGACATTTTTGCTATTGATCCGGGTCGCAGAGCTCCGGGGCTTCGCCACCCCCTTTTCTCTAGCTATCATAATCGTCAATTCCTCGGCGCCTTTCGTGACATCAATCCACCGCGGTCTCAGATAGACTTCCTCTGTTGGCTTCGACAGCGGCATGCAAGATGAGCTGGGCCTTTATGACATTGAATGACGGGCTCTTCGCCAGAAATTTGGGCCAGGCGGCCGGGAATTGACCATCGCAGATGCCGATGCCTTTAATCTGCGGCATTGAAGACCACTACCTGCTACTAATCCGCAATAACTGGAACTGATTAGAATCTCACCTGTGGATTGCGCTGAGCCTGTTTGCTCACTTCCCGCGCCCGGAAACCGATTAAGTATCAATCATTTCGTTGGCGATGACTACAACTGTTTTTGACGGCCGTTTCAGCTCAGCTTGAGAGCTCAGCGATATAATCAAACGTTGACCGAACATCCATTCTCCTTGACCACCAGCCGTTTTTTTGCGCACCTAATTCTTATACTACTCGCTTCTGAGACCTGTCCTGCCTGGTCTTCGTCATCACATACCCTCGGGCCAGAATCTGTGGTGGCTGCACAATCAATTGGCGAAGAGGATAAGATAGGCTTACATTCGTCCCAAAGACCCAATCACGTCTGGGTATTGGTCGTATTTCTAGGATTGACTAGTAGATATTAGGTGATGGAGCTATGCCTCAGCAATTAATATCTCATTCGCGGAGAAAGGTCTCTGCTTCGCTCTTCTGGGCAGCTAAATAATTGGAAGCCAGCATTACTCGAGCTCCTCGGCTGCATGCCGAGGCACACTACTACCTAGGTATGCAGTCAGCTATCTGAAATTCGGAGAAAGCGAAAGCGGACATACACAGAACAGGGATAAGTGGCTCTAGTCATATAGGCCCCGAGTGAGTCCTAGTACCATTGACAGAGATATTTTAATCGACGGCAAAAGTGTGTTACGTCTAAAATTAGGAACTGAGCTTTATCTGCCTTGCAAGTAAGCTAGAAATACTTTCAATGTGACATTAAATCTATTAATGTAGGTGGACAGTCCGCTTCCCCGCAACGGTCGCTATGACTTAACTCTTGTACGTACGTGCCCTTTATCTTCGCTCAGTTGAGGCTGGCATTCGTTGCGGTACGGTCAGTGGAATTGAGCGAGTTTGTATGATTGTCAAATCAGATTCCGTCGCCAAGCCCGAACTTGTCTCAAGCAGCCTCGATTTTGCAAAGCTCTACGATTATGCATCTGCAGGGGATTCGGACTCAGGGAACATCAGTTGCCCGAGCGTGATGTCGGGTTCGAAAGTAAAAAGCCTGTCACATATATGAAGGACGATTAGTAACTTGAAACTGAAACCATGTTTCATCAAGAAGAAAACGCCATTGAGAGTCAATAAACAAAGGCATTCAGAATCGAGTGTAAACGTACCCGTCATTGTCGAATAATCCACTGGCTGTTAATGGGGCAAAGGGACTCAACATCGTCGAGAAGACATCAAATATCTCCACATCATCCTGGCGCGCATTGGCTGGGACATCTGTAGTAGAGCCGATTGCGGAACCAAGCGAGGTGTCGGGCGCATCCCCCCTAGGGACTGTGGCGGGAGCAAGCGTCTGATTGTAAATCTGACTTTTTGCGTTTGTAAACATTCTGAAAAGTATTTCGGCGCCGAAATATACGGTTTTGAGCTCTTCAATAACCATCATACAAAATTCGAGGTTGTGGCGGCCCATTCGTTGCACCAGCTGTTTTTCAGAGGTGGTGTCGAGGAGATGGATTTGCAATGCGGGAACCAATGCAATGCAGCTAGCGATACTTAGCATCCCATGTTTCAATGTTTTTTTGAATCTCTGACGGGGCACGTACACCATCGCTTGAGTGCTGCTGACCATATCAGCACTGATCATGTTGCCAAGGATCTTGTTAGTGTTGGTCGCGGCGTCTTTGGTCCTCCGCACCACAGTGGATGTCCACTCGTCCGCGGAGACATCGGGCCAACGTATTTCTGGCTTATCAAAGATAAATGGCCGGTATAGGATCAGCAAAACGGACCTATAGAGTGTCAGGCTATCGAAACTTAACCGAAAAAAAAAATCGGAATTTCACTTACTCTAGATATAGCTCAACGTGGTACGCGTGTAAGGAGACAACGTGACTTTGTCGGTGAGCTATGGCGTACTCTTTGCGAAAATAATACTGTCGGATGTTATCGTCCATGTGCTGTATTTCACTCCTACTGGGTGGTGTCCGCTCCGCTCGATTTTGCCATGAGAGAATCTTTGCTAATGAGACCGTAAGTGCCAACAGCTCCGTCCACAGTTTGGCTAAGTCTCCAGTGCCTTCAGGAAGGTACTTTTGTTGAATACTCTCCGTAATTCCTGTGAGGAGGCTACCAGAGTCATTGGGGTCTGGCATCGGGTTACTACAGTCAGCTAGATTGATGCGCATAGGCCTGCCCATGCCGGCAGAGAACCACGCTTCACGGTAAAAGCAGCTCCACCAGATCTGCCGCCATAGTCTGATGTCGCTCATGGAGATGGCTTTACTGTGTTTTCGACTGCTGTCTGGCTGCCGATGTAGCCCTATCGTTTGGCACAGACTGATGGCAACGCCGTTCCAATGCCAAGACCCGGTCCTGTCTTCAGTGTCCGAATACCAGAAGCCCATCAGGAGTACTGCCTGAATGAGAGTAATCTTCCTTCTTTCATATTCCGCGTCATAAAGAGCCTAGACGACTTTGGTTAGCTAGTGCCTTTTGTCCAAGAGTGTCTTATCGAGCCAGAACCTTAGCTCGGATATACATTGCACGCTTCATTTCTTTTCTCGACGAAAAGTTGGTGGCTTTTAAGATGCTGTGATCTGCGAACTATATCTCATGTTAGGATGCCAACGAGGGGAAGTGAGAGAATGAACAAAACCCATACATTTGCGGCAGCTAGAAACATGCTCCACAAGAGATGCAGGCTCAGGTCGTTGCGTGCATTCTCAAACAGATCGAGGAATGAACGAGCATCGACAACTGGGAAAAAAGGATGCACATAGTGGAAGTACGTCCGTATGATCATTTCGCAGACAGCAGGAGTAGGCAAGTCGAAGACGCCCTTGTAGCGCAGATAATCGATCGTTCCCTGGTCGATATGTTTTGGGCTAATTCGTGGAACGAGGAAGTGACCGCTCTTCTCCCTTGGCTCTGGTTCGCAGATGTCGACTACCAGGCCAACGCCCCGAGGGTCGCCTGCATGATCGAATCAGCATCATGGCGGACCGTCACTGGCGCAAGGATTCCTCAATCCCAACTAGATCTCTGATTCTCACCATATATGGGGGAATAACACTTATCTACCACGTCTCCATCTGGTTGTGATGTGCCCGTACTATCTCCATTATGATGGCTGAAATGCTCATTGAACGGATGGTAAGGCGTTTCGGTGCCATCCCCAGTATCTTCAACCGACGGAGCTGTGGGACTCCGTCCGCTCCGCACAGATAGATCCTCCGACGCAACGAGGCGCTCGGGACCGAGTGAAAAGCCGCGATCTTCCAGCGGAGTACTCAGTACTGCGGGACTGCCATTTGACATCGAAGAGACCGTGCTAAGATGGTAAGAGGACGATTGTATACCAAGTCTGCCACGGCAGCTCGTTAGCGTGTCTGCCGAGGAGTTCTTCGGTCTGAAGTTGACATGTCGCTTACTTCAATCTCCTGTTCTCCCGCGGCACACATGAGACATCATCTAAGGAGCAGTTGGCGCAGGGTTGGCCAGTTTGTGGGAGACTGCACCTTACTTTACGGGCGTGGCATGACTCGCAAGCCACGGGTGCTCGTTTTCTGGACCGTCGCGTTCTGCCAGAATTCCGCGTGCTCTCCGCTGAAGAATTGGGCATCATGAAAGTGAGCAGTCGGGCCTTTTGCAAATGAAGTCAGTACAGCATGTTCAGCACCAATGCGGGAAGGTTGCCGCGGATAAGAAGTACTTTGGGGTAGGAGCGGTACACAAGCTGGGCCTCGGCAACAGCAAGCCTCCGCACTGTTGCCCAGTAAGGTTGTCCAGTTGGCGGTGGTTAGTCATGCAAAGCTGACCTCTGGCTACGGCGACTGCCGAGGCCTGAGGCGACCAATAGTCAACGCAACATCAGATTAGTGCTTAGGTTAGATAGAAGTCAAGGACCTCGTTGCCCATGTCGGCCTAATGCAAGCGACAATATGTCGCTTCAAGAAGTATTATTTCGAGCCTTTAGTCGCGCCATCACTTTTAAACAATAGCAGATTGGCCGACAGAGCCGTGAGCGTAAATAAGACAGACAAAAGAGTCAAAAATTACCATTGGCCTGACAGTGATCTCGAATTACGCCCGTGGAGGCTGTATTGAAGATCATTATTGAGCGCCGCATCGTCATAAACGAGAAAAAAGCCTTGCTATCCATATCGCTGTAGCCTAATCTGCCTGTGGCCTTCTAAATCTAGAGCTATGGACAGATGACGCTCTAGGAGTATTTACATTTAGAAAAGAGAATGTAGATTGCGAAGTCTTGTACAGAGAGGTAGAGAGTATAAAGACAAGAACACAGTTCGAAGCCACATGCAAGACGCAGTACGAACGGAGGCCTGCAGTCTAAGCGCTGATTTCTAGGAGCTTAGCACTATCATGCGTCGGTCACAATTCTAAACAAATTCAAAGTCGAGATGTCTTGCTTTTGGACAGAGCCTCGCTCATCTTGGCCTGTGGGATGCCCTGGCAAAAACGGTCGAGGCCACCGAACATTTCGAGCGGTGCTTGCTCGTCCTGCTCCCTAACCAAGCGACGACGCATGAGAGCCTTGGTCCCCAGAAGGCTCGACTTCACTAGATGATCGCCGAATGTCTGCTGCAGGTAGCTCATCACCTGTTCACGAAAGTTGCCTTTGCTCTCGAAGACCTTGTTCACAAAACCGACCTGAGCCAACTCACTGACAGGGATCTTCCTGCCAAGAAGGAGTGCCTCGTTTGCTTTACCCTGACCCATTCGCTGCACAAACGCGACACTGGAGCCGCCCTCGGCAACGAGGCCGAGAGACGTGAAAGGAGTCATTATATAAGCGTCGGATACCGCATAGATAAAGTCTGAGTGAGATATCAAGGCTGCAGAAAGTCCAATAACGGGCCCGTTCAGCGCAGTGACAAGAATCTTCGAATGGCTGTAGAACGCTCTCGCCACATCAACGTTGTTGTTAACCAACTTGGGAAGCCAGTAAGGGCGAGATAAAATCTCCTCCATAGATGGGGGTTTCCCTTTAAGATCAGCCCCGCTTGAATCTGCATCAGCATCTCTTCGCAACTTCCACCTTTCGCACCATGGGGAAGAGAACTTACGCAGAGAAAAAGGGGCCTTCGCCAATCAAGACAGTAACGTAGACATCCGGATTATCTTCAGCTTCTCGAAGCAAGCTTGCAAGGCGGTAATATAGATTCTGTGTCAAGGCATTGAACTTTGTTGGGTTGTTCAGCGTGATAACCGCAAAAATGCCGTTGATGTCAAGGTGAACAAGATCTTCTTCAGCCATGGCTCAATAGAGTTTTGCTTTGTTTGATGATTGATAACGAGCAGAATTTAAGAGATGTGATTATGGGATCTTGATTTATGGGTTTTTGTTGATTCTTTTAAGTTGTCTGTTCAGCAATTTACTTCGGCTGGAGTTCCCGCGGCTACTGGGTGGGTATCTTTAGTGCCGCGGAAAATAGCCTCTATCCCCACCTCGGCATGAGTAACCATCGCTTTCGAGTATGCCCGAGCTCGCTAGGCATTTCCTGGAACGACAAATGGGGTAAATATTTGATTCTATCCAGAACTTCTGCAGCGATAGCAACCTACATACCGTTTCGGACCCTCCACAAACATCGGTCATACCGTTTGATTTTCGTCATGAGTCTATGGCTATGGTGCCTCGGCCTGATACTAGGGTTGAGTCTCAAGAATCTACATTTCATGTGGCATGTAAGCTTCGAATTGCCTTTCATTACTCCCAGGAAATGCAACTGACTTTTCAGTTTCGATTTTTCGGTGCCCTTGCAATGGGCTACCTCTCCCGCAGAAGATCAAGCTGTGCGCTTAAGCAACACCATGTCTTTCTCCCGGCAGTGGTTAAGTCACGATCTCCAGCTACTGAATGTGATTTCAACCTTCATAAGTCAAACTCGACCTACATCACTGATCTCGATGTATCGAGAGCCTATCTCAGTGGGTTGCTATTTGCGCCCATCGTCTTGAATTTCAGAGATTCGATACATTGCAACTTAATCGTCAGCGCGATTGCGTGTATCTTTCACCGAGAAATCAAGCCGTACCAACCGTACGAAGTCTGGACTAAAGTTGCGAGCTGGGATGATAAGTGGATTTATATGGTCTCACATTTTGTCGCTGTTAGTAAACACTTGCCTGGACGCTACGTCATACAGGGGGGGTGGTTCGATCAATAGCAAGATGATGGAAAAACCAGCAACTCCCGAGGATAAACGACATAAAAATGTCTTTGCGTCTGCTGTGACTCGAATGGTTTTCAAAAGAGGTCGATTGACTGTACCTCCTCAGCGCGCTTTGGAAATCTGCGGTATTCTATCGACCGAATCCCCAACCGCATCATCTCATACTGCCGACAAAGTCGGGACAACACAGTCAGCTATCGAGTGCCCTGAATGGACACTTGAAGATATTGAATTCTCTAGACGTGAAAACCTCCCGATTGTGCGGCTTGAAAGGGGCTGGGATGCTGTCCGTGAGCTCTTCCGACAAGAGCCGTTTGCGTTGACAGAGTATAATGACTTCATGTGGTGAAAACTAGGCTGAAAAAAAGGAGAAACATAAGTAGAATATATTGCGTGTCTTTGTAAATAAAGATTATTAGATAACTTATCCTCTGTCGGAAGCTTGTTGTATGACATAGTACATATAAATCGCGACCGAAAAGACTCCAAATCTCTGAATAGCATCGTCAGTCTGAGAGTCACGATATTTCGTAGCGGTCTAAAACCAGACTGGTGGAACTATGCTTACTTTATGCTAGGATAATGTGCAGTACACAGAATACCTGAAGTCCACGGTTTGGATATATCGGCCGGAGCGCGCCTCGTTATGCTAGTGTGGTTCTCTATTGGATTTGGTAGACATACGATGGATGCGTGCACCACTAGCTGTTAGTCCTCAAGGGTGGCATTCCTCTTAGTAGCTAGTCAAGCCCCAAGCGTGTCGTCACTTTGACTAGACCCGTCAGCGGACAACCTAGGCTTTATTATAGTCGGGTCTATGAGATGCTCGTACTAATACCCGTGTTTCGATTGATAGCTCGACTAGTTCAGACTCTTTAGAAGAAGAGATATCAAAAGTACGAGAGGAAACATCAAGTATCAATGATGAAAAGGTGGCTACGGCCAGGAAGACAGGAAGTGGACAACGAACCGAAAGACTTTCTGAAATTCGAAGTACTAGAGCATCTAGACAAGACGAGAAAAAGAAGCAAAAGACAAGAGGAAAGACAACCTAAATAGGCCACAGAGAGAGACAATCAGCAAATGCTGATGCAACAACCGCGTGGACATCCGCCAAAGGGAGGGAATCTCCATCAAATGAGATGCCAAATAGGCATCAGAAAAATGTGAACGTCACAGCTGAATCAGATAGCAGGTAGATTATACTATGTCTAATCCTTGGACACCCCGGGTGTTTCCGCGAGGCGCAGAACATACTTCTTCGCGGACTCATAACCCCCCTCGAGATCCTTCAAAGCGCGCTCAAGTCTATTTAGCCCTCCTTGAACAACTTCGTAAGGATGTCCCGAAAACCAGCCGTGGCCAAGGCCAAGACTGACCAAATTGTAAATGCTGGTACCAAACTCTGCATCCCCCACCCGAATTCCCTCTTTTGCCGGGGCGTGGATAGAGCCAGCATTGAATCCCAACAGCGTGATCCCCCCGATATCCTCGTCCGCTTTGGGTATGGCACTCATGATCTTTCCGTCCTGTGGGGAGACAACTTTGGAAAGCATCTCCACACTCGCTTTGTCGGAAACAGCGTCGTAGGCGTAAGAGATAACATGCAATTTAGCAGTTGTTTGAAGCTGCTCAGTGACGTGATTGGCTCCCTGGCGGTAGTCAAGCAAGGTCTCCATTCCGTGACAACGATACAAACCCCTCACTGCCTGATACACAGTAGTGTGTATCTAGTAGAAAGCGTCAGCGCTCAAAGCTACTTGAGGGCTATATTCTTGGATCTCAATTATTATATTGGTTGATTCTCTATATCCTATGTTCATTCATTCGTATGATAAAAATATACTTTTCTTATAGTCTTATTTATTGATTCTAAACTCCACTACTGTATTATAAATTACAATTGAAAACATAGAAAACCTCTCTTAGTTCGCATAATTTATAAATAGCGAATAAGTCACATTTTTTTGTCTGTTTGTCCTGTTTGTAGACCCTGAGGTTTACCCGTGGGTAACCCTCTGAGGGTCGGACCTCTTGGTATACGACCCTTAGCGTCGATGAATTAGGCGCTTACCTACCCGCGGTGCGGGTATGGTAGAGGGTCCGGAGGGTTACCCGCGGGTGAGTGTAGATCTGACCTGAAGGCATGCGAGGTCGGCGGAGCGCTTTCAGTGCCGCTTGGTTGTCCGCAAAGATGACAAGCCCATTCCTTGCTTGTGCAGCTCAAGACTCGGTGCTGTTCAGAACCGAGTCCAGCGCCATTTCAATAGCGTGTAGCTCTGCAGCGTACACGGTCGTTGTATTCGCGTCGCCCATTTGAGTGTGGACGACATGATCTTCGAGGTCAACCACTACCGCCGCTCCCATTCTTCCTTCGATCCCACTTCCGCCGGTGTACACTATCAAGGGTCGTTCTTATGATGCCTTTACCATGGTCTGCTCATGAAATACCACTGCTATCTTTCTGTCCTCGATGAATTGAATGGTGAGTTGCAGGGGTGATTTTATTTACTTTTTTTTATTCTCGTTTGACAGGCCTAGCCGCAGGGGCGGGGCTGAGTCATTTCGACGACTTGAGGCTCTGCTGGTTGTTGCCTGCGCAGGAAACCAGGTGAAAAGCAATTTGAAAAATTAAGGGGAACGTGAGGGTTTTTGTATACTAAAATTCCAGGTCTTGAAGCCTTGTCTACGTTGCAAATTTGACATGCATGAAAATCTACAGATTCTTGGCAATGGATAGATCATCTGTGGTACTATGATTCTTGACGACCAATAGGACTCGGACCTTTCGTTTCATCACTGATTAGATTACTATATATTCCCCTTTCCAGGTACGTCTCTTACATACAACTATAGTACATAGAGAACAGGGTTTCCCGTCCGCTCAGCCGTACTTAAGCTACACACCGGTAGGATAGTAATATGGTAGAGACTACATATAAATCCCTGCTATTATATATTTTTTATTTTCCAGTTTTCAGATAGAATATCGATTTATTAAGTTTAGTACCCCTATTACCCTACTAGGTATATCCAAACCAGATATTTTCATATATACTAATATTAATATAGTACCAGTCTATTATTTAGACAATATACCCATATATATAATCAGACTTAGAGATAGAGTGAATAGTATACAAAAGAAGCACTTAAGTCTTTACCTTGGTGCTTATCTCGGAAGCCCTCTAACAAGGGACCAGTAAGTACAGCCTATATACCCCAACAGTGTATACCAGCATATACAGTATCGCTAGGGAAGGTTACTAGAGCACTACATAACAGTCGTCAGTAAAGTCTACAGGATTAAATCTTTATCTCAAATAAACTTTATTACTCACCCGTATTCCACCTCCACAGATCATATATAGTACCGACTAAGCCAGAGTAACTAGTAACCATTTCCCCACAACCATTTGTAGCCGGATTGCACAGATTCTCACCCTTAGATACGGTTTTGAGATTATCGATCAGCTCGTTGACGTGATGCAAGCAAGGACTTGAATCACTTCGTTCGCTGATATAAGAAGTTGAAGTATCTGCATTGGCAATTGTAGCAAAAACTAAAGCTAATATTGAATATTGTGTCTTTATTTCTAGGAGTGGTCCCTAGAGCTCCACAATGAATTAATACATACCGGTATGAATACATGAATTTTTTATTCGCGTGAATGAATGCGCTATTCATATTTTTATTCATATTCGTATGTATACTACTGGCTTGCTGGGTATGATAAGATGGCTTGTTTTATCAAACAGCTGTAGCAGGTCTCCCTCAGCCCGCATGAAAGTCTTCGGCACGCTGATTTTGCTGGAGAGACCATCAACTTATTCAGTCTATCTTCTCTGTATGATGTAATGGGAAATTTTTGCAATAAACAGCTCTTCGCTCGAACTCCCTCGAAGATATGACATGGCTCCTCGGTTGGATATATCACGTTCTGTTATAGTGTGTACAGGTGTACCCTACTAACTCTGAAATTTGATTTCTGGGGGCCTTGAATAACCCTTGCCTAACAAAGCGGTACGAACCAACACTATTCGCTTTTGTTTTAGTAATCTGATTTCAAGGGACACAGTGAAGACTTTTTGAGCAAAAGGGCATCGAAGTACATAGAAGCTGAGGGAAATAGCGATACTTGAAAGTGCAGAGAGTCTGGATCAGCGGCTGCCCAGGTGCTATTTACGGGCGGCACGCACCGTGGCGATCTTTCACCGTGGCCCCATTATGCGGATCCACCATGTATTGCCAATTACCAAATGTTGTGGACTTTCCAAACGCTCGTATCCAGCAGGGAGGTCTTAACCATTAACGAACTCGGGTACTAACTATTCCACTTGATATAAGTCGTGGCATCTCAAAATACAGACCCCAATCTGTTGCCTGGGTGCCGGGCCGTCCCGTCCAGTACTAAACAAACAGCGTGGTCGATGAGGTCTTTCGACCAATCTAATTCCCTGCCCCCAACATCGTGGTCACCTGATAACCAACTAGTGAAGACTCGCTTATTTTGGCCCCCTCTTTTAGCTGAAAGCTGAATCATGATGTTTCTGGTAAACATCAAAACGGGGTGATTTGCCATGGCTTCATTTCAATCTGGGCACAATGAGGGATTTCAATTCGGCTATAACTATGGCACAGTAAATGCGGTGATCCACAACAATGTTCCGCCAGCAACCCCTCACCGGAAAGAAGATGAGACCCAGACAATTCGAAGCTGGCTCAATGCTCCCAATCCCGAAATAAAGCAAAATATTTTCAATCAAAAACACCATAAAGGCATTGGAGAGTGGTTCTTGAACTCCGATTCCTTCAGAAATTGGCTCAGTACCTCAGATTCATTTTTATGGGTGCACGGCGTACCTGGGTGTGGTAAATCAGTCATGTTCTCCGCGGCTGTCGAAAATATCAGGCAATTACATGCAAATGCCGGGTTCGCTTTTTTCTACTTCAATTTCAACGATCGATCGCAACAAAATGCATCTGGGATGCTACGTTCGCTAATACTCCAGCTCTTGCCAAAGGTGCATGATGATGATTGCGTTAAAACCCTCTATCGGAAATGGCATTCACTAGGCATCGAAGCATCCGAAACCCCATTGGATAAACTCATTGACTGTCTGGGCTGTCTTGCTCGGCAATTTGCCGATATCTACATTCTGATAGACGCATTAGATGAGTGCCCCCAGAACGAAGAACGAGAAAGCGTTTTAGATTCAATTGCGACCATGCGACAATGGAGCTTACCTGCTCTACATGTCTTGGTCAGTAGTCATGATATCACCGACATACGTCAATCTTTCAACCCTCAACCAGGACAAGCTGTCAATATGAGAAACCCTGGTGTTGAAAGAGACATTTCGAACTATGTGTTCCACGAATTGACGACTCGCATAAACCTCTCTCATTGGAAGAATGATTACTTGCAGATACAAGCTTTATTGAACGAGCGTGCACAAGGAGTGTAAGTAGTTGATGAGAAGGTTTCACTTCTAATGAAGCTAAAATCCAATTAAGGTTCCTCTACGTCGCATCTCAACTACAATTACCTTTAAAGAAAGCCTCACTCAAACGTGAACGCGATGCTGTCTTCCAAAATTTACCACTTGATATGCACGAAACCTACGAGCGACTTCTGCGAAGAATTGATCAAGAGAAAACCGATAATGTACGACGTGTCATGTCTTTGCTCTGCTATTCCAACCGTCCCCTCACTACAGGAGAGGTGTGCCATGCACTTGCGGTCGATCTTCAAAAAACACCATGCCTGGACCTTGAAGGTCTACTTGGGGCCGAGGATCAGCTTCGCAGAATATGTTACAATTTGATTGAGATCACGCAAACGGAAATTACCGGAAACCCCTACACTTCGGTTGTCACTATATCTCATTCTTTGCTTCGACAATACCTTGAGTCGGAAAGAATTAGGCAACAGGACGTAGCCGCGTTTGCAATCGATCGTCAATCAGCAAACAAAGAAATGGCAGAGATCTGCCTGGTATATCTCAAATATGCTCTTTCGGAGAAGGGTAGAGGCTTGGAAAAAGTTACTCAATTTCCATTCGCTCTCTTCGCAGCTATGGAGTGGTCTAATTACTATCTAGCCTGTTCGGATAAAGAATCTGGGCTACAAGATCTTGCGCTTCAGCTGTTCCGCGATGAAGATGGTGGCTATTTTACTGCTTGGATCGAGCTATATAATGCGGATGATGGGTGGGTCAACTTCCTAAACACAGATCAACCGATGATCCGGAGGGCATCCCCCCTATATTACGCGAGTATTCTGGGACTTGACGATATTGTGGACAAGATGGCGTCAACAGGATCTAATGTGAACGCCGAAGGGGGAACATACGGAAATTCACTTCAGGCGGCATCTCTCAAAGGGCACACTGCAGTGGTGCAGCTTTTGATCGAGTATGGAGCCGATGTCAATAAAAAAAACGGTACTTATGGAACTGCTCTCCAAGCAGCATCTCTGAAGGGTCATACGGAAGTCGTGGATGCTTTACTAGGCTGTGATGCTGACCCCAACATCCAAGCTGGGAGGTTTGGCACTGCACTCCAAGCGGCATCTTCTGTGGGCAATAAGAAAATAGTGCAGATCTTACTTGACCATGAAGCGAATGCCAACGCTTGTAGTGCCCCACATGAAAGTGCGTTAGAGATGGCAACACAGAATGGTCATGAAGAGATAAGAAATCTGTTGCTTATAAAGGGTGCGCGTTCAAGCCCTAGAAACTTAGGCAATGAACTGGGAGCTGCGGCCATCCGAGGCGATTTAGAAAAGATGCAAGAGATCCTTAATGCGGAAAATGAACATCAGGATGACCTTTTCAAGACTGCTAAAGACGCTGCATTACTTGGTGCATCCCACTTCTGCCAAGAGGGTGCTGTGAGGTTGCTCCTGGAACGAGGTGCTGATGTTAATGCTCAAACCAAAACTTTTGGAAATGCGCTCTACGGCGCATCATTGACACAGCGAGAATATAGCCAGCAGCTTTTCCATGAGCAGATTTTCCGGTTTCTGCGTGTGACTGTTCATGATGCTGTTTCTCAAAGCCTCACCGCGGGAGGTGCGCTTGAATCTTGGTTTATGGATATAATTTTGCGTGAGGAAAGCCCCCGGAAACAATTACTGGAGCAAGTCTCGACGTCCATTTTTAAGAATCCAGCTATCAGAAACTGTTACAAATTCATGTTTGCATCACCCGAGGATTCAGAAAAGGTCGTGGGAATACTACTGACCCATGGCGCAAATGTTAATGCTCAAGGGGGCAAGTACGGAAATGCCTTACAAGCTGCATCTCATATTGGGAATGAAAAGGTGGTCAAACTGCTTTTGGAAGCAGGAGCTGATGTGGATTCCCAAGGCGGCTTTCACGGCAGCGCGATAAATGCTGCCTCGGCGGGCGGCCATAGTGGCGTGATGCAGATACTCAGAGATCGTCAAGACGGTATTGCCGGGAGAAATGCTGATCAGCCGGATGGGCTTTCCTCTCAGACCAACAGCCGTCCTTAGTTTCGTCCCTGCCCAGATGGATAACGCTATATTTTGCAATATCTCATCAGATTATGCTATAGTCTTGTGCCAATTTTACTCATTGACAGTGCCTGTGATTCCTCTCCATAGTCTATTTAGTGGCTCTGCTAGGCCTCTAAATTCAGAAGATCTGTTTCCTCCACTCCCAGATAACATCTTTAGCGTGTGGAGATATTTCCTGGGAGAAAATGCGGTACATACTGCAGTAATTAATTAATAGTAGAAGGAAAATTCCTTTAGAAAAAAAAAATGCAGCGGCGAGACATGAGCGTTGATGAGGTGGTTTACTCACCGATGTTTACTTTCACCGGTGTTGCGAGACCGGGTGAACTTTATTCCGAAGAATCTGCACATCCTACCGCCTCCACGTTGAACGAAAGGCTATCTACTGTGGCAAATTGAACACGAAAATAATATATCGTTCAACAGCAGTTCGCCAAGGGCCGCAGTTATGTTTTCTTTTCGCAGATTTCACGCCTGCGTTTGGAACCGTATGACAGGTCTTTAACGAGTGCAAAAATCACGGTCGCCGATTCATCGCGGTCTCTTTATTGAAGTGGTTTTGCACGTAAATCAACAGTTCACATTATAGTTCATTTCGGAACACAGCGGATAAAAACGTTGTCATAAATTAGTGGGGTAATAACATGGACATTCTTTCTTTCGGGGTTATTGGCTACTCCTAGAATTGGCGAACACGCATCTCTGGCTAGGTGAAGTAGTCATAATAGCGCCAACCTCATCTAACGTCGGGTCGCCAATCAACAGCCTCTTATTGAGATTAAACGCTTAAAGTTTACAGCTCGCAAATATACGATATTTGCGCTGATTCCTGACCAAATCTTGCGCTATGCTCTACATAAATTGCAGAGGGTTTCTTGGGAGATTGAACGAAAGAAAGCTGTGGTACACCTAAAATAGTAAAGGAAGGGAAAATTGTGGCCTGCTATGAAAATCATGCTGTCAAATGAAAAAAAACCTTGGGCAGGAATCCAGAAAAAGAAGTGGGTAATTGTCACCTTTTAGCTGCGGACCTTCGGTGCCTAAAGTATAAGGTGCCCAAGTGACTATTATATATTAACCGACTAATCTGTCGCCTCTGTTTATAAACTATCATAATTATCAGCCAAAATGGAAGCCGCCTTGGCCTAAATTGGTGCTAAGTTCATTCGACATGCTATCGAAAATCCTTAATTCCGAAATGACACAAAAATTTCTCTCGATACTCATCTCGGGGATCTCTCTCCGGATCACATAAAATCGACTTCAGTTAAAACTTTGGGTGATGAAATTTTTGGTCCTCTGTCTCTCTCGGGGGCATTGAGTGAATTCGATAAAATCAGCAAACAATATAATCTAGTCTATATGGCTTAGTATACTACAATGACCATAATTGATCAGGAATTTGAGTACCTCAAAAAGATTGATGTAAATAAGCTGAACAATGAGATTATGGTTATTTCGATAAAACGCAGAAAATTATCTGATTGAAGGGTATTTGTAACCCAAGAGGCCCCTATAAAAGTTCGCTTATTTATTTCACCGTGATGGGAAATTGTACGGCTCTTATTCAGAGTCTGCTGGATATCGATACTCTGGTTGACGATTATAACCAAAATAAATGTATACCTCTATCTTAGGCTGTAGAATTTAGTTCTCTTATTGCTGCTAAAATTCTACTGAAGAAAGGAGCTAAGATTAATTCTCTGGATAATACGTATAATTTACCTCTTACTTAGCTAGAATATACTAGAAATTCTTAATATAAGACTCTCAAGGCTACTAGATTATTCCTTAAAGGAAACAGTGTAACTATTAAGGGTATAAAACACATATAGATATTGAATAAATTGCGACTTCTCTGAGGATAAGAATGAGGTTACTAAAGTTTCTTTGCTAATAAAGCCAGGATCTGTCTTATTCAAAGTAACTGTTGATACTATCAGCCTCTAGGCTCCCCAAATTCTACTCTATATCTTAGTAAACCAATCTATACCTAAGTTTTTTAATAGGTAGATTTTCTAGCTTATAAAATTGAATTTTGATCCCTATTATTCTAAATTACGGCTATATCTTTTATAATTACTAATTTTGTAGAACTGATATTAATTATCTGTCTTAATTAGAAAGTATTAACTCTTAAAGACAATTTATAATTTTAACATATAAAGATTAGATTTTAATTCTTTATTAGACAACCTTATATATACCTCAACACAGGTATAGGTTGTTAGGAAAATTATAGCCTATCATACAAACTACTTATAATTACCTGATAAGAGGGAAAATTGGGGCCTATCATACGAACTGCTTGATTGGGCGTATAAGGACTCTTTTCATAATAACAAGGGGTATTTATATATCTACAGGAGCTATGATCTTCTTCATAACAAACAAAGATTCAACAAGTACATTTCCTTTTCAATAATATGGCTTTCAATGACCAAGATATTACTACTCAATTACTTATGGTAAATATTAGCTGTGTGAGGATTAAGTAGCTTGACTAACTTGTACTTGAAGAAATTCATGTTCTTGGCTCTATAGTATTTGATAAAATACTATAGAGCCAAGAATAGATTAATATCAGCGGGAGAAAGACCAGCCTTGTTTCGATGGCCAGGGCAGTTTCGATATGAAAAAAGCTCCAACCTATGATTTGATGTTGTAGGGGATCATTGGATGAGTTATAAGCCAGATATCAGGATCATTCAAACATCTCTATCTCCATAGTATATTTGACGGGTCCGTTCCATTCTCTTCAGGCATTAGTTGTAGGGATTTATCAGTCTCATTGATCCAGAATGAGTTTTGTGGGTCGACTTGGTGGGCAGAAGTGTATTTTTAATATTATGGATACCAGCCAGCAGCTTCCCAATAAAGAGAGAGAGAGAGAGAGAGTTGCATTATACACCGTTTATAAGTTCCCAAAGGGCTCTTCCGGTGTCGCTGACGGCCGCTGCAGCTCGCCACTGAGGTGATATATATACATAAAATGCCATAAATGTCATTCATTTGCACCAGTTTGCGCCCACATGTCCTCGTAGATTCACCAGTTGTCGGCTGTGCGTCTTGCACCAGTGTGTCCTCATAAACTCGCCAGTTGTCAGCTGTCCGTCTTGCGCATGCTATCTTACATGCGTGTATGCCCTCCTACACGCGTGTACTCCGCCGCTGTCACGCCTCCCTGCCCCGCCTGTGAGTGCTCCTGCTTCCATCTCTATCGTGCGGTGGTGGAGGCCCGGTATCGTGACGTTTCTCGGGCTCAGCTTCCCAATAAACAATACCAACAATGTCATCTCCACGCACAAGAATGCTGAGGCTACTAAGGTCGCCGTTAGTGAATATCGAAGGCTAAGAATTGTTTTGACGTTTGATCGATTCCTGAATTTCAGGTTCAAGCCCCTGAATTTCAGGTTCAAGCCTTGAATCAAACTCCATGCTTATCCGTAAATACCGATGGAACTCCTGGGTAGTATTAAAGGGACCAAAGCGTAAAGAAGGACCCGGAAGACGACAGTCATAAAGCGATACGCCATCAACAGGAGCTACCTTCATAGGGAGGCCAAAGATCACGCATCTCACGAACCAATCCTGCTAAATGCAAAAGAAGTTTCGCTTTCGACTCTTCACTTCGTCTACCCACCCATTACCAATTATGTCTCCCTGAATCCTCTCCATCACATTATACGTCCACCCGCAACGAGTGAACGCACATAGAACTTTCGGCACCAGGACAGATATATGTTCCGAAATGAATAGCATTGTTGATACTTCAGATAGATAAACACAGCGCCCGTATTCAATGCATAATCGGTCATTTAACATAAGAACGTTCCCTCCTCGAGGTCGAATCTATTTAAGGATTTGGAACTCTGATAGTGTCAACCATCTATAAAAGACAGTGCTGTTGAATTGTTTAGGTACGCTCAAAGAAGCGGCGGATAGCAAGGAGGGAAGCCCCTTCTGGCTGGATAACATTATGTTGGTTTTCGACGCGAGGTAAATGTTGAACGGAAAATTGAAGGACAGTTTCAACTTAATTCTGCAAATCGGATTTTTTACATCTCAATCAAGGATTACTTCATCCACAATGGAGTCATTTCGTCTGGGAAAAAATTGGCTTGTAGCAACGTTGGGAGTTCCGGACCGGGGGAGGTCTAATAAAATGGGTTGTGGGGCTGGCAATTATTTAGTTCGGACAACTGCGGGTTAAAGGGGAGGAACGGGGATTTTAGCCAGCCGAATTGCACCACAGAGAAGTAGATACCATGATGTCTCCGTATAACAACGATCGCCAGGGAATATCTAGAGATGAGGCTCTTCAGTGAGAACGTAGGCTGATTGGCTCGGGTGAGCCGCAGTGGGGCGGAGTGAAAATCATAGACTCCGGACCTTATAGCTCATAACTCAGTCTCTGGCTTATCTCGTTTATTTTGCTTTAGCTCGACAGAATGCATAGCCTGCAATACCATATAGTGGTAGAACGGAATAATTAGGTATGGACCGGGGGGATAACCGTGATCATGAATGTCTGGACGATGGCAGGACCGAAACGGTAAAGGCTGCCCTGGGAATCTTTTATTAAACCAGTCCTTTATCACCCCTCCGCTCTGTAATAGTTTTTGTAGAGCCTGTCTTCTTAGAGGGAAGGGATAGAAAGTATTATATGTGATGTTTCTGCCGTTTGGTATGAGTTCCAAAGTTTCGACGATCCTGAAAACACACTCCCACAGCTCCAACTCTTCGCTGGGCGACAGCGAATATAAGTAGTTGACGTGAATCCACGGCCCACATTTCTGGAATCTCCAGGTTGGAAAATTTCGGATAAGTCGAAGAACATCATCAAAGCAACTCAATCCCATATATTTAACCCCAGTTAGCTTTCTCGCACTCTTTCCCGCCTTCACAAAGGCGCGGAATTCTGGTATTCTTTTAGGCGAGCAACAGATCACGATAGTAAGAGAGAGGACGCGATGTTCATATAGAATACGAGATGTCTCCTGGTTGAGAGTTCGATTGCAAGAAAGTATGGATAGACCACAGGGTGCGCTCGTGTTCTTGAAGAAATCGACGAAGAGACAGTTCCAGATTTGGAAGCGTAGCTCTGGTGGTAGCTTTGAGAATTCGCCGAGTTGGGCGAAAAGTGGGGGTTTGGACTCCTCTTGGGAGCGATTTTGGTTCATATTGCTTGGTGGTAGCAGGGCGTTGACTTGAAATGGGCTGGTGGAGATGAAAGAAGATGGAAGCAAACAGATATGAGACTTATCCATGGATCGATGAGTTCCCGACGCCCAACTCTGACTCGATGGCCCGATTCCGAATTAGGCTCGGTGCATTTTAGTGACAGGACCGGAGGGGAAAGGATGGAAGATGATGTGACGGTTGATTATGACATACATGATGGGTGGAGCAGGATGACTCAGCCACATGAGGGCCAGAGGCTACCTGAGGCCTCAACAAATTTCAACATGGTTTTGGATGTAGTCCGCCAGTTTTCTTAATGGCCTGCGTAGTATGGCGTGGGAACACCATGATTTTCCGTCCTAAAAGTCCACGGTATATCGTGGAAGTTCCACCAGATCCCCCATTTACACCATATCGGACGGGTACGTTGGAACTTGTTTTGGTTTAGCAAACAATAATTCCTGCTTAGAGTGGTTGGTCGCTTTGCGCTCCTGTGCGTGGTAGCATATAAACGTCGAGCTCCCCTCCCGCCCAACTTCTTTGACAATTGCTTCTTCGTCCCTCCCCCCTCTTGCTCGCTGCAGGTGAGGCATTTCTGCTATTGATACGGATCACCAAGCTCCGCGAGAAAAAAAATTCAAATATATGACAAAACATCACGTCACCCCTTGAGAGGTTTTGAAAATGAACCTCAAAAGGGAAACTTTCGTTTTCCATGTATTGCACATAGTATAAGGCTTGGCTAACAGGCCTGATCCATCATAGTGATGCCTCTCTCTAGTCTGTACCGCTGCTCCTTAAATGGATTCGGTCCAGTATCGCTTGCGATAAAATTTCTAACTGCAAGAATATCCTTTCTCTGATCATCTGATCACTTCATCTCTCATTCTTAATAGACGAATTTTATATCGGCAATACATCTTTCTACCTCCTATAGCTCGACAAAAATCTCTTCGAGCTTAGAATTTTATACAAATTTAACTTCAACGCTACCAAAATGGATGCCTGGCAAATTCTGGAGCCGGTAACCTTCATTCTACTATCCATTCTTGCCATATACCATGTAATTGAGGTATGTTATATCTAGGTAGTTTCAGGAATTCTAATATCGCTATGACTGGCAATAGCTCACACTAGCCTACGGCAGCTTCACATGTTATCGAAACGGATCGATAAACTGGAAAGCAAGATAGAATCCTCTGGGGGAGTTTGACTGGGCCTGAGAAAATCGTCTTTGAAGGCTGTTTTTGTTGATCGAACTAGTTTAGCCATAAGAAGATTATTTGTTGCTTGCGAGTATTGACCTAGAAGAATATATGGTGGCTTCGATGTCTAGAAAGTCAATAGTCCTCAGGACAGTCTACTCCTCTTGCTTGAAAGACTGGGGCCTTGCAAGGGATGGACCTTGAAGATGTGGATGGGAGGCCTCGATGTAAAGCTGCAAGTTTTATTATGGAGAGTCACTGGTGATCGTTGTTTCTTTTGACTTCAGCTTATAAGATGAAGGTCCCTCCTTTCTGTGTGTTTGAATTTATTCAATTTTTGAAAATTTGCTTTCAAATGATAGCTCTTTCTGCTGTTTGATGAAGAATCCTGCCATACAAGTTTGAGCTCTCATTCGTCTAGTCTGTAGATCTTTTCTGACCTACAAGAAGCCTACCTCGAATCCCAAATATTACGAATTGCAGAAGCTTTCCAGATTGATATACTTCTGTTGCTCTTTCAATGGTTCCATATCTGTTTTCAAATCTTCTGTTATCACTTGACCCCTCGCGAACCAGTTCCAATACTCATCAATATGCGCTTCTCCGAAAATGTACAACATATCAACCATGCTGGGCACTCCAGTAATAAAGCTCAAAGGGATCATGGGTTTGATGAACAACAAAGAGCACTTGCGTGAGATATTGCGAAAGGAACTACTATCTAAGGTGCAAGAAATTATGTACATGAGAGCTCATCTTGGCTTCACCCGAAGGCTACTAGTCACCGGCCCTACATAGAAGGGTGAGCTCGTCGCCGGTGTGTGGCCTCTCCTCCACCGCCACCTCGCCCTATTGATACCCAGATCAGTTGAAAACACGGTTATAGAAGACTTACAAATGTCTTCAGCGCAAACCCACAATGGGAATCGGTGCTGCTAGCACCCTGATGTCGTTATGCAATCCGAAAAGCCCAGTTTATCGAGAAGAATGCCGCCCCGTCGACACCTCGATCCTACTGTGCTATTCAGAACGTCAGCGAGACAAGTCAAGTGGGAACAGACCCGGGATTGCGCGCGGCAATCACAGCCAGCTGGATGAAGGCGTCAGACGCCCGGTTGCGAGAGCTGCGGTCGACCTGCGCGGAGCACCAAATTGCCAGCCACTTCCGAAACTTGTACGCTGCGACGATCAGGGTGACGAGAGCGCCGACGATACCGACGGCAATGCCGGTTGTCTTCAATGTAGTGAGCGCTGGAGCCATGGTAAAATCAGTTATAGCAGTGAGAAGGGAGGATGTGGGTATGGAGGAGAGGAAATAAGAAAGAAGAGACTCACAGCGAAAATAAGTGGGAAAACATTGAAGACCATGGTACATTTTGTTGTCAGGAGATACGGTAGTGAAGGGGGTAAGGCTAGGACAGGCTTCGAACAAATGAGTTGAAGAAAGAGCGACGATGCTGCAAAGGCGCGGTTTGTGGCAGTCACCTATGCACTTATACATCGGAACCATGGGGGATGCTCCTGCCGAATTTCCAACCGAGTTAGAAAAATATGGATATCTATGACCAGCTGAGCAATTACTTAGGGTAGCTGTAGAGACCTACATGAATTAGTGTCCTTTGGAACCAACTTGAATCTAACAGTATATAGTAATAGCCCAAAGTACGTGGCATAAGATTGGATTGAGTGTTGAATCCTGATGTCTTCTAAAGCCCATACTATGTCAATTTGTGGTATTAAGTTTAGAGAAAGTAATCTATAACCGGACTGCCAATACTTTATGTATGACATAGCACCTAGAAATTCAAAAGGGTACTGCGGAAATACAAGCGTAGAAGAGAGTTGAGTCTATCACGGTGGTCAATTTACTCTAGAGCATTCGCGTTAAAATTTTTCGTAGCCTGAGGCCTGGGCTCAGGGAATCTGGACCACAGGCCTCCATGGCCCCTCTACACTATGTAGTCCTCTTCTCCTACATGCTATGAATAACACGCCCTTTCAACTCCCAGATTCTCAGCGGTGTGGGGTGCCGTCATTCGTTACATGCAAAATGGAGGAACCGCAATTTGTATGGGACACTTCAGCTGTCGACTTCGGGCGGAAAACTTTCGCACGTTCTTCTCAAGGGCTGGTCTAGAATGGGAATATGAATCTTTCGATCTTTGCCAGTCCTACCTGAACTCCGACTTCCTTCCCAAAGAGATCACGGAAATTTTACCCGTCACGCACTTCGCAAAGGCCGTCCATTTGAAAAATGTCGGTGATGCTTCCTGGTATCGTCTGCAGCATATCGTTAAGCGCAAGCAGGATCATGATGAGGACGAAATGTCTGATGAGCAACCGGAACCGGCTTGGACTGTTCTCAAGGATTCGACTCCTGTCGCAATGGCACAGGTTGAGAATGGTTATATGGGATTCGTGGGCGACGTCAATTCCTCTGATGATTCTAATTTGGTTATGATCGCCATGTGTGGACTCTATGTCTGAATATATTGACTGCGAGCTCAACTTACTAGTACTTGCTTGCATACCACCGGACTTTCCGGCTCTTTGCCCTATGACAAAGAGCCTGATGAACCAAATATGTTCTAGTTGCATTCATGTATTATTTTATGTATCATTCAATGGACCGACAATCAACCACTTAAAGTTCGTTTCATGTTTTGAGGGAACAAGAGCGAAATCCCAAGTCGGATTTCCACCTTGTAGCCTCCGATGGACAGATATCGCCCTATCAGATGCAACATCGGGGCTGCAATAAGCTCCATTTTTGCGTCGGCACGAAGTCCGTCGCGTCGTCATAGGCCCAACTGCAAGATGAGTCAACCCAACCAGATCATCAAGGGATTATCCTGAATAGGCAAATATGCATACGAGACTTCAAGTGAGAGCCCGATTCTTTCAAGTTCTTGGATCTTGGATCCTTTTGTCCTCTTCATCATTTCAACGAACTCCGAGATAGGTATTGCACCGCGACCATGAATGCTTCCGACCGAGAGCCTGTCGCCCTACATGAGATCCGATCTCACCGGTCCGGAGATGATATAACCTCCGAGATCGAACAGCTCGCTTTGCTTCCGGCAGATGGTGGCCGGGCAGCCTGGCTGATGCTCGCATCTTGCTGTTTGATTCAGTTACCAGTCTGGGGTGGGCCATGGACAGAGTCCAAAGACTAGCATTCACTAACCCGTATTCTAGGTTTCTCTTCGGTTTTCGGAGTCTTCCAAGAATACTACACCACTCATAATGTCCTCAAGGGTAACAAGGGTGATTTGGCTACCGTGGGCACTACCTCAACTGTATGCCAAATGCGTCGAGAGCTAGACCGATCTATGTCTCACCCATTCTTTAGGGCCTACTATATCTTCTTTCGCCCATCACTTTTACCCTGCTGACTCGGTATCCCCGACTGCAAACCTACTGTGCTCCAGCTGGACTTGTTATCACTGTCATTGGGTCTCTACTCTCATCTTTCTCGCAAAATGTATGGCACTTGATCGCGACACAGGGTGTGATGTGTGCCATTGGCAACGGACTACTCTTCAGCCCATCATCCCTCTACTTGGATCAATGGTTTGTGCGGAGGAAGGGTCTTGCGCTAGGAACTATGTGGGCTGCGAAAAGTATCACCGGAGTAGTTCTGCCTTTTATTGCAGCGAGCTGTTTGGTTCGATTTGGTTCAAGCACAACACTCAGAGCTTGGACAGTCATCACGGTAGGACTCCTCTCTTACTTTGTGGGCTTTCCGAAGATTTCTCAAAATATGTGCTTACCTGGGAACCCAGTTGATCTCAACCCTTCTATCGCTGCCATTCATGAAACCTCGAATTCCAATTTCTCCCTCGGCATCAGTCCGCCGTCTCGACCTAGGATTTCTCAAGCTGGGCACCTTTTGGATGCTTCAAGTTGGTAACATCATCCAGAGCTTTGGATACTTCCTCCCAACAACTTATCTTCCAACATATTCAACAAGTACAATCGGGCTGTCCCCGACTATGGGCACTATGCTCGTTTCGCTCTTCAACGCCACCTCTGTCTTCGGTGGCATTACACTCGGAATTCTTTGTGACCGCTTCGCTGTCACTAATATTCTACTCCTCTCATCGCTAGGATCGGCGTTGTCTGTCTTCCTTTTCTGGGGGATGGCATCATCTTCAGATGATGGTTCGTCTCAGACAGCCTTAGCATTGCTCACGGTCTTTTCGATATTTTATGGTTTCTTCGCCGGCGGATTTAGCTCTACCTGGTCGGGCATCATCACAAAAATCAGAGATGATTCTTCTTCCTCGATGGAAACGGGGTTGGTATTTGGTCTGCTTGCTGGAGGCAGAGGAATTGGAAATGTCATCAGCGGGCCTCTCAGTTCCGTATTGATTCAACAGGGTTCAATCGGTGACTCTCGTGATCAAGTTTCTAGATCGGGATTTGGAACTCAATATGGTGCCCTTATTTTGTTTACTGGAATCACGGCACTTCTTGGTGCATGGGGCTGGATGTGGCGGTACATCAGCCCTGCGATGCGTTGCGTGAGTTGATAATAGTCAGTTCAGTTTAAAGTGGAGTGAATTAGGGTGGATAGGCCGTTTATGAAATTTCCTTAGTTCTATCAATTTGATAATCCAAAAATTAGTTAAACGAGCGAAATCTTACCTCAAGTGAATCTGCTGTTAAGAAAACCCGATCTATACCAGTCTATACCAGATCACGTGAGCAACCGAGCTTCACCTCGAGTCCGCCGCAACGAACAACTTCGGAATCGCAATCTCCCTTCCATTTCCATCAGCCCGATTGAAGCCTCTTTCAGGCCAGCCGGACCACCAATACCAACTATGGCCGCGGTCGATCCTGCTCTGCAGGACCCTCTCCTCTCACTTCGGCGCGCTATCGCCTCCGGCAGCCTCCCAACCCCGACGACCTCTTCGGAGCTCACCAACGAGCAAGCCACAGAGGATCTAGCCCAAGCAACACACCTATTCTTCTCGCAACCCTCTCCACAAGTCATCGCCCTTTCAACACCGACGCGATTCGTCTCCGCATCCACCAGCTCCCCCGTCGACCTGCGCAGCATCTTTTTCGCGTGGCAGAAGAAAGACGTCGCTATTCCCGAATATATCGCATCGGCGCAGGAACTCAATGAAGCTCTCAAGTCAAAGGAAGGCGATGACACACAGGTCCAGATCCTGGTCTTCGTCGAGCGACTGGATCTCCTCACCTGGCTAGAAGGCGCCGACGCTACGAGCGAATATATCAAGCCTTTGGAAGGCGCTGCCGCCGCCGCAGAAGCAGCCGTCGCCGCAGGTGCCGTTCAATCGGATGCTGCGGCTGGAATTGCCTCCGGGGCTACTGGGGGCATCTCATCAGTCCCCAGTGGACCCGTCGGAGCCGTAACGACAGGAGCTCACGGAAGTCGCGCACAAAAGACAATCGACCCCCGACTACAGGAGATCTACAACGGCGAACGAAAGACCGGAGATCGAAACACAGTCCTACGAGGAATCAAACCAACCGTAAGTCCTCTGTTCGGAGAACCTGCCTCAATTGGCACCCTCACCCGCGAAAGACCACTAATCACAATACCACCAAACAGGACTTCTCGCACGTCCGGAAAAGCGCCGAGCTCTTCCTCGACCGAAACCGCAATCGCCCCGGCCAAGCAGGCGTAAAGCCAGGCAGCAAGAACTCCGCACTGGTGCCGGCGCCGTCAGCGGGCCTCTCCATGCCATCGCGCAAGCCCAGCTCCCGCCCCGACCCCATCATCCTCCTCTCCCCATCCGCCTCATCTCTCATCCGCATGTCGAATATCAAATCCTTCCTCGGCGAAGGAATCTTCGTCCCACCCGACCACCCAACGCTCAGCATGTCGACCGATGCCAATTTCATGGAGATCAAGCGTCCGCTCCGCATCAAGTCGGACCCCTCCAATCCAAACGCTACCTCGATCGGTTCGCACGGCGGTGGCCGCGGCCCCAAGCCAACTAAATTCATCCTCGTCGACGGCACGACTAACTTCAAGCCGGAGTACTGGTCGCGGCTGGTGGCTGTTTTCACAACGGGCCAGACCTGGCAGTTCAAGTCTTATAAGTGGTCTTCGCCGCCGGAGCTGTTCAAGCATGCGACGGGTATCCATGTTGGCTGGCGAGGCGAGGAGATCCCTGCGTCCGTGAAGGGATGGGGCCGTGGCGTGAATAGTTTCGCTGTTGAGCGGTGGGATGAGAAGGGTGGGATTCAGGGTTCAGGGCGCTGGAGAGATCGCGAGGTTGTGGAGGGTATTTGGACGGCTATTGAGGAGGGAATGAAGCTTCGTGGTTGGGGATCCAAGTAACATAACCATCCACTTTGCCTCTTTCTTTCTTTCCTTCTCCATTCTTCAGTTTATCTCTTTTGGTTCTCCCGATTCCCCTGCCTTTCCTACATTCTGGATCTCGACTCGTTTTCTTTTGCTCCATCTTTCTATCTGGAATCTGATGACATATGACACTGGGGGGTGCTTGGTTCGAGTTTTTCGGCGTTGTATTCGGTGTGTAATAAAACAGTGCTTCCATACTGGTATATCCTTTTCTTGGAGAGTTTTTCTCTCTCTTTTCTCGGACTTGTTGCGAGGGTTTCTGGTATCTGTGGGCTTGCTTTTCAGGGTAATCGGGACTACGGTCTGTTTGCGATCTCCCTAATTACATCGTTGGCAATAGTAGCTACCACTTCATTCCAACCCCGAAAGGCCTTCTCGACGGCTACTACTAGTATGTGGCCATCTCTGGGACTCGGACTCTCTATACTTGGCTGAGACTAGGCGTGGCATAATGACCTTTCCCCCATTTTTTCGATCATCTCATGTCCCTTGGAAATAGTGAATTGATTAAATAGTTCTCTTCATCCGTTAAAAAGCGCCTTTGAATGGATTCCAATTTGGTCTGTATCAGTATATTGTTCTTATTTATAGTACTGCACACATGGCCGTCCCTGATGAAGTCTAAATCTTGCCGTGCATGCATCCAGCATCCTATCTTCAACAAAGGTACTATACATCGCCCCACTTAGTCCCCCAATTGCGAATGACGACAGTGGAACTATAATCCCGGCGGTTGGGAAGGATTTCCTATTTGGATTTCCAAATGTCCAGATAATTACTGAAGCCATTCACATTCCGATACGGGTGAGGAGAGCATCTGGTTGGAAGTCCGGGATACACTTCGGAGAAGATGAAGTACTATGCATGCAGAGTCATTTGGTTTGATTGGAGGAGCGAACACGTGCGTTGAAGGGAAAGGGGAATTATACCATTTTCTCGATCTTCTCGACATTTCCCTTGTAATGCATGCTAGGAATATGAGTAGTTACTAGTAGCGGGAATAGGTTGCTAACAGAAGTACAGCTCACTATTCACCTGAGTTTATGAGATCTCAGATTAAAGATTATCCCAGAAAGTTAACGAGCACACACGATATCAACACCATCCATGGATTCCGAGTCATGAATCGACAGTCAGGAGTTGACAGGTTCAGGCACAGTTGACAATTTACAATTTACAGTTACAGGCAGAAGGTAGATGCTTATAAGATCGTCATGTCCATTGCAATTCCCGTCGGAACCGAGATAATATGACATACAAAGAAGACCAGAACTCACACGCTGTGCCCAAAAGAAACAATGCAGTGCCACACACAGTGATGAGAACAGATAGGAAATAAAATGCTTGAGGATCATGCAAGGAAGAAATGGAAATGAAAAGTGTGAGTAAAGAAAATGAAAACATGCAGATTAATGAAATGAAATGAGGAAAAAAAAAACGCCGTGTCTGATGCTCAAACAAAACAACTGAAGGCATGGGACGAGTCGAGAGTCAACCACCGGGGTCTTTGGTGCTGAGATATTTTCTTCTTCCTTTTTGTATTCTTTTTCTTTTATTTTTCTTTCGGCGAGTGTTGTTGGTTTCCTTCCGTCGTTTGGCTCGTTCAAAGCCCCATCGTGGAAGAGGGTGAGGTGGTGTGAATGAAATGATCGGGATATCGTGTCTGAGATGCAACGGGAGGGGGAAAAGAAAAACGTCATCCGAATATTACAAGTGGTTCCCAAACCGGACCTTCTCTATAACATGAGGCATCGATCGTAACGTCTTTCATCGAGAGGGGGGACAAAAGGAGAATCTCGTGGCGAGGCAAATTAAAAACGGAATGAGAAAAATGACAGCCCGGAAACCCGGTGTCAAACCATACTCCCAAAAGGGTAAATTCCGGTGTGGCGCGGGGTTCCAAGCTGCATGCGATATGAAGCAAAATGGGAAAAAAGGTTTCGTGGTTCGGAAACGATCATGACGAGATTGATGAAATAATGTTCCGGAAAGAAAAGGAAGAAGGAAGAGAGACACCTCCTTATTTCCTTTCTCGGAGACAAGACATGAAGACACAAACAACCCCTGTCGCGGGTGTGATTACCGCGTTGCAGTCACACAGGTATCGGGAGCGGATAGGACTCGATTGGCCCATATCGCATCCGCGAAACTCTGATCTGAGACCGCAGAAGCGTTGAAGCTTGGCTGTTTAAAAGATGGCAGGGGTGTTGAATGGGTTCGAATCACGACGAAGCCGGTCTCTGTTTGCTGTGTTGCAAGTAACGTCGACACTGGCTCGCGGTGATTGTCATGAGCGTGCAGAGCGGCTCATGCTGCGTTCCGGACCGCCGGGTGTCGGTGAGTATGAGCGCGACCCGCCGAAAATGTCCACATCGTGTTCTTGGAGGACCACCGAGTACTTGGGATCACGGAGGAATTTGGGAACGGAGTCCTGGGAATCAAAGTTAGCATGCAACAACGGAATATTGGAATTGGAATTGAAGGTTCCAGAATGGACATACACTAGACATCAGCTTGAAGACAGAGGTCTGGGCAAGCTCGAACAAGTGCACCACCTCCTGCAGACTCTTGAACATCGACTCGTCGTCACCCACGGCCTTGGTCATACGGCTGGCGAGACTGTTGCGCAGGGCGTGGTCGATGTTCAATTCACAGGGGGACCCGGGAGCTAAGAACGCGTTGTACAGACCTGTTACATGTTAGAAACCATTGACTAGAAAGAGGAGGCGCTAAAGGAAATAACGTACCATAAGCGGCTGCCAGCGTTTCCCGAACAGAGTCCACCTTGGTGAAGGCACCGGCCTTCTCGGACTTGTGATAGCTGGCAGTGAACTCAGACACGTCGAGGTAAAATGATAAGTTCTCTTCGCACAGAGAGTAGCGCAAGAATTCGCGGAAAAGGAGACGGAGAGCGGGATCTCCCAGGATATGTGTCAAACGAGCGTTGTTGGAATCGCGGGGCATGCCACGGTTGTCGTAGGAAGTGGTGGTGGTGTTCTGGGACTTTTCACGGGCAATCCATCCACAGACGCGCTGGCCTCGCTCGGTGATGCAGTAGATGGCGTATTTTGACGGTTGGAAGACGACATCGGAGTCGGGGAAGGACTTGTCATCCTGAATCATCGTGATAAGGCCGTACTTGAGGAACAATTCTGCGATCAAACAAGTCTCCCGGCGCTCAATTGTCGTTGAGCAATCCATCAACCAGTCGACGGCACCCTTTCCGGTGAAAGTGTTGCTGTAAAGCTTGCCATCCTGCAACTTGCGCTCCCGAGCCATCTTCACACCCACAATGCCGTTCGAATAATCACTCAATGAGTCGGAGTCTGATGTGGAAATGCTGCTCTTGATGTTAGGACCATCTTGGCCAGCGAAACGGCGGAAGATGACTTCGACGGTGGCTCTGTCGTGTGACAGCTTATCGCTCTCGGTGTCGCGCTCCAGGTTCACCAATTGCATCGTGTTGCGGGGCGACTCCAACACATCCATCACGTGACGAGCGGTGATACCGTTCCGTTGACAAAAGCGCTGCAGAATGTTGATTCCCTTGGGGGTAAGTTGGAAAAGGGCGCCCTTGAGAGGGAAAATTGGCAAGGCCTTGCCATCAACCGATTCAATGAAACGCGCGTCCACAAAGCGCTGGCAGACGGAACGAGCCATTTCTTTGGCCATGGAGAAAGTGGTGGTAGTGGTAGTGGTGACAATGCGCGAGGGATCTTTGGGGTCGGGCATGCGGTTCGATTGGGAGAACTTCAGAGATCCCAAATTGTTGATCGCTTCTTCCGAAGTAAAGGTGTGGTCGTATCTCGTGAAGCGGACCCGGTGGGAGTCCAACTTCAAACTCACCATTAAGGTGGAGAAGAGGTCCATGAAATCCTATAGAAAAACCAGTGTAAGCATCCAATTGCCATATTTCCTCCACAATTGTCAATCCTATTCTTTCCAACCTACCTTGGTGAATGGTCTGTCATCCTCGGTCATACGCAATAGGCGGGACGAAGTCTGATGCATTTTGGGAGGAGGCGCGGCTGGCGCAAAGCCCGGATGCACAGGACGAACTTCGAGAGGGGGAGTCGGAACGCGCTGTAGAGTCAGGCGTCTTTTATGAATGGTTTGAGGTTCCGGGGAACCAGATCGCGAAAGGCCCGACAATTGATCGTAGGTGTCTTCGTCGGAGAATGGCGGGGTCAAGGGGGTAGTGCTCGCGGGTCGAATCTGTTTCGCGAGACTGCTGTTGGAAGCGGAAGACCGTAAAGTGTTGGTTCCTATAGTCGGTGTTCCGATGGTGGAGAGACTGGCAAAGGCGCTGGAAGTTCGTTGTGCTATAGCGGCAAACGAGCGGCGGTTGCGACGAGATATAGAACCGACGACTGACCCCGAGAAGGTAGAAGGCGGATTTGAAGAAGTTGGAGCTGGATTGGTCGCTGGGGGGTCGGCGAATGGTGAGATAGTGCGTGAGTAGGATTGAGGAGGAAGGGAAGGAAGAGATTCTTCTCGGTAGTGGTTCACGGAGGGTAGGGTTGGCATTGAATGGTTTTGCTGCCTTTTGGGTGAACCAGACTTCGGGAAGAGTGTGAAAAGTGGGTAAGTCAATCAAGCCCTGATGATACCAAATGATCTGTACATCAAAAGGGGAAGATTGTAATAAAAAAAAAAGGGAATAAAATAAAATAAAAAAATAAAAATAAAAAACCCAAAAATTAGGGTGTGGAACTCCCTTTACTCCGTACAGTCGGGAGAGAGAAAGAGGAGGGGAGGTGGGAGGGGCGTGTGGAATGGGTTTGTATGAAGGGGGTGGTTGGGAAATTGTGAAATATACACTATAAGTTTCCAATTTTTTTTTCTCTTTCTCCCTTTCTCAAATAATAAGAAGGAATGGAAAACAAAAAAAGAGGGGAGGGGGAAGGGCTTGAAACGAGCCAAGGGGGAAGTCAAGACAAGGGCAAGCCGAAAAATAATAATAATAATGAATAAAA